ACAGATAAAACAATTTACCACAACAGACAAGACATCACACTCATTGACAAACACAATAAAATCATATACATTATAGACATATCTGTTCCAAACACTCACAATGTACAAAACACATGCAGTGAAAAAATCAGCAAGTACACAGAACTCCCCAGGAAATAAAGCATCTATGGAGGATGGATAGGGTGCTTATTGTACAATACTTGTCGTTCTCTCCTCTAAAGGTGTCATACTACTAAAGCCTGGGAACATTAAAATTGAATAGAAACACACATCACACTACAGAAGGCCACTATATTGAATGCATATCATATTGTTAGGAAATTCCTGAATACAGACACACACTGACACACTTATTTAATTTTTGTCTTGTTTTGGTTACTATGCCTTGACTCTGGTCTGGCATAGTACACAGCCATTGGTGTCAATCGAGTATAACTCACAAAACTCAACATAATAATAATAATAGGTTTATGGCATTACGAAATTCCACTAATAGTATCATATCATACGTTTTTGAGGGGAATAACATTTTGGTGTGCCGTGTTGAGTCATTTTGAGTCATAGGTGTGCCGCGAGTAGAAAAAGGTTGTGGAACACTGTCCTAGAGTAATTTGTTTGATATCGGATGAGCAACTCCTGGGCCCTTCAGAGCAGCAGGTTAATTTCATCAGCCATCTGGCCACCGATATACATTGCTGTACAGAAAAAGTGAAACACCCATAAAGCGTAGTTCAAATAGCCTAATCAGCAGTGGCGTGCCATCCTTGGAAGCACTGGAAGCGCCACTTCCCTTGTATTTTCTAAAAAATAAATACGTATTGCACGATTATTTTCATATTTGAATGTACTTTGAATTAATTAAAATTAATATTTTATTTTTTTATTTTAATTTTATAAAATAAAAATTGCATTACAAATACTAGTCGTATCTTGCTTGCTCGCCATGTCCAATCACCTAGAACAACCATTCTTCACTGCACTGTTGGGATTGTCACCTGTGAACATTTTAGACTATTTTGCATATTTGTGCAGAGCTGTAGCCTACAAAGGTCATCTCTGCAGTGAAGATACCACTATTATTTGTAATGCAATTTTTACTTTATTAAATTGTAATTTTCGCCAGCCCTTTTTTACAAGATAATATTTTATTATAACAGCATTATGTATCTTATTACAAATTGCTATACTACATGTGAGAAAAATGATAAAATTACTATTGTATATTCGAATATAAATTCATATATGCATATTCCCAATGGAAGCGTTGTATTGTCGAATACAAGACAGCTTCCAGGCCAAAATATTTGAATGGTATAAAGCAGCCAGATTATAGGCATTTGAGCATACACTTTACAGAGCACCAACCTCAGGCAATTTAACTGGTAGAAGCTACACACCAAAATGCTTCCAATGATTCTATGTAGGACCGGTTCTGGGCTGTTAGCCGCCTGCGTGCTAGATATTTGGCCACCCTTGCCCCATTATGTGAATCATGAGTAGATTTATAACTTAACCCAACCGATAGGAGTTTACTGGTATGTTTTTATGATAGTTCTATATAGTTTACAAGAGTTTTAAAAAAAAATCCATTAAAATATTTGATATATTTATTCTGCTTTCCCATCTTGTATTACTTACAGATTTCAATGTTAATTAACTAGTGATATTACAATTTAGTATGTCCCATCTATAAAAGGATGCAGGAAAAAAATGTGTAAAATCCTTGTACAATGTTAAAAAATTAACTGTTACATTGGCAGCATCATTTACAACTAAATTTAATGAATGAGTACAAAAAAGCTCTAGAAATCTATATTCCTTAAATTTATGATTTATGTATCTGCTGTCATAAAAATTCGTCTTTCCACTTCTTTCCCAAGACTACAAATATTCAAGTACAAAGTAACTGTTTCAACTTATTTCTACTTGAGTAGTTAAATAATTAAGAGATTAGGGACATAAATAAAACCCTGCTGAAAAAGCCGGAATTTTACTTAAAAGCTTAACTGAACCAATCCTCTAGCCAAGTACAGTGGGGACTGATTTCTTCATAATACAGTCGACCCCTCCTATAACACGGTAGATACGTTCCGTTCTTTATGAATCCATTTTGTATGAGTCCTTGCCAATCACAGCCCAACACGTGTGAAAGTTTACAGACTACGGCTGTTTGAAAGGTTTTCTTCCATAAAATTAGTCGATTCCTAGACTAATTCGACTCAACATTTCCAAAATACATATATTTTTTTGGGAATAATCCGTGTAAACTATGCTATAAACAAAAAATTGTAGGATTACTTACCAAGTGTGCACCGTTCGACATCGCCATTGCTTAAGCTTGTTTTTGTCGCGGAGCAGTGCACCAAACGGCGGCCGCAATTTCCGATAAGTTATTTTTCTGCGAAAACTTTGTTGAACTTTGGAGACATCATTAATATAAATAATTTTTATGGCCATTGAATAAGAAATGTATAAAATTAGTGCTGTATTAGACTTACGGTACCTAATTTACATACTGTACAGACAATAGTAAACTCAACTTACTCGCCTAAACTCTCCATAGGGTGGTGCTGGACGACAGAAAGTATATATATAATTATATATACAGTACCTAATTTATATATAATTATATGTACAGTAACTAATTTATATATAATACTGTACAGACGATAGTAAACTCAATTTACCCGCCTAAACTCTCTGTAGCGTGGCGCTGGACAGCAGAAAGTAGTTCGGCTGCCCAATGATGTTTTACCGAATTATAGGAGTTTTTTTACCAAATTATAGGAGGATACCGTCGCAATTTTTTCGCCGTCATATAGGAATCCGAACTGTAGGAACCCATGTTATAGGGGGGTCTACTGTATTAGATGTAATAAAGACAGAAATTTTTCCAGTTCAATGAGAGTGACTGAAGAGTTGTAAATTGTATTCTTTATAATTCTGTGGACCCTGGTCCTAAAACAAATTAGTTAGAAAACAAATGATGGATAATCTATAATATACATTAGTAAATAATATAAAATAAATATTGAAAATTGTAACAAGATAGTTACAGCTATAGATATAACATCTGTTAATTAATTTATATATATGTTTTTTATCAAAGAAAGAATTGGCATTTAAAGAGAATCTATTGAATCTAAAAACAGAGGTAATTATATTGAACTTGTTTATTTATTAAGTACGTCAGATGATGAATTAAAAATACATTTAGAGAAGTCTACGGTTTTTACTAGCTTATTGAACAAACAAAAGCGAATAGACCACCACTGATGTGCAATTAGCTGATTGCCCTTGGAAGTTGGCTTCTTACAGAAACACAGCTTCCCTATCATTAAATGTCATGGTGTGAGGAACTGAGTCCAAGCTGTATTGTTGTTTTATTTTTATTTTTCTTTAATTCTATTTTATTTCGGGGTTTATGTTTAGTTAGGACAAAGGTTCCCCCCACTCTCCCCTCAGTAATGAAAAGAAAAAAAAAAAAAAAAAAGGAAACGAAGGAGAACCAACTCACCGACCAGTCGAAGTGCTGTAGGAAAACTAATGCGCACTTGCGCTTCCAGGCTGGAAGTTCAAAAGAAGTTCTGCAAAAAAGGGGGGAACCCCACACGCACAAAACATAGAGGACTTGCTAAAACCTTAATAAAATAAACATCCCAAATATGTACAAAACAACAAAAATAATACTGTAAAAGGATTTAGCAAAAAATGTTGGAAAACAAGCTGCCCAGGAAAAGTAATGCAAATCTATTGTTAATGTATAAGTATGTAAATGAGCAGGAGTGGTTCGAGAAGTAATTGTGACGTCACCTCAGAGCATAAAATGAGTGAGACCAGAGACGACAATCGAGGTAAGCTCCAGACAGAGATAGATCGAGGTGAATTCCAGAGTGAGAGATAAGAAGAAAGTCCTGAGAGTAGCGATTAATGGTGATTTGAAGGAAACTTGGATAAGGGAAAGGTTCCTAGTATTGAGCTGACAGATAGGATTGTAGTTCCATAAGATTCATTGTACATAGTCTTAAGTGGTTGATATTGTCGAGTCCTAGGGGAATAGTTTAGAAGTATTAGTAGATAAATTGCATTATTTTTGTGTCAGGTCTTGTGAATTGTTTTTTTTCCATTGAATAAATTGTTGTTGCTTTCTACTAATTTATACATAGTGAATAATTGAATTGATATTAAAAAACATTTGTATTCCTTACTGATCCTTGTATATAGTTATTTTCCAGAGCACGCATAAGTCCAGGCCTGGCATACTAACCATGAACCTGTGTAAAGTACCTGTTAGGTTAACGGTTGTATGTTTTGAGCAATAGTACTGAACACCTTACTGGCATATCTTTCTGTTTTGTATATAGTACTTTACAACAGCATGCCACTACTAATCAGGTGCCCATAAATACTACCCAAAGGATTATTCAAATGATGATGATGACACAAGAAACATGCCACTGAAGCATGGAGAGTGCTAATTGTTGCATCTTTAAAAATAAAAGATCCTGTATAGACTTCAACAGTATAATTTAAAGACATTATCACACATCTGTGACCATACAGTATGCCAGGACATCGACAGTTTGTGCAATTGAATCAACTGAATGAGTCTGGTTGGTCAACTCAGCAAATACCTTGCAGTGTGGACAGACACAGAATGCTTGTTACAAAGCAATACATCATACTACAGAACATGACATACAATGATGTGCTAAAGTTGACCTAATGCAACATCCACAGAAATTTTAAGATGTTTAAAACCTATATTACAATCTTCAGTTTCCCAGAGAGCAATTTGTCAAAGGCTGAACAAGGTTGGACTCCACTGTTTGCCTTTGACACCAAACCATTGTGTGGCATGTCTGTAATGGTGTGTCACACATTGGGAATTGGTGCAAGAATCACATCACATATACTTCTTACATAAGTCACACTTCAATCTGAGTATTGACAATGGGCATATCAGGGTATGATGCTGCAGAGGTCAGAGTCAGCATCCCACAAATATTCGTGAGCACCATAGGTTGCCTGCATCTGAAGTTTTGCTATGGATTGCCATTAGTTATCATTCCAGAATGTGTCTTGTTTTTGTACAGGGCTCAATGACAAGCCACTGATATGTCACAGAGATTCTAGGACCTCATTTTCTACCTTTCTACAGCACACACCATCTGGCATTCGTCAGCATGATAATGCATGGCCACATATCATAGCCATTGTGTAACAAGCTCTACAAGATATTGACATCCTACCTTGGCCTGCAAGATCACCAGATTTATCACCAATACAACAACTCCATATGTGACTAGCTGGGACATCTGCTGCAACACTAGCAACTTGCCCAAGCACTTGCTATAGCATTGTGCATAGTTAGAGAAAGAATGATAGAATTTGCCTCAGGACACCATTCGGGACTTTTATGCTTCCATGCCTCAAGTGACTGCCTGCATCACCTCCAGATGGGAGATACACCCTATACTGAATCTTATGTTGGAAGCTATTGTGTGGCTTTACCCTATTTATTATAACTTGTGATGCATGTCATACATATCATCATTTATTTACCATGTGTTTGATCTTTTGTTATGAATTTATAAAGTTTCAATGACATTTTCTGGATGTCTCACTTTTTCTGTCCAGCAGTGTATGAACATTTTCCTCACTGTTTATAATAGATTCTGGCTACATTTACAAATTTGCTAAACATTGAAAAACAAAAATGTAAAAGTTGCTTTTCGTTTCATTTTGGTCATTATTGATTATCAAATGTATTTATTTAATTTTAGTGTGAATTTTTGTGTTGAAACTCAATTAATTCAATTCATTAATTACAATTGGGAATTCACACACATTTCCAAGTACTAATTTATAAAGGAAACACAAATACTACAAATAACTAATCAGATTTATTGTTTATGATCACAGTTCACTGGACACATGAATTTGTTATAAACTACCTAAGACATAAGTAGGTTTAAGGATTTTGATAATATGCATTAGTCAGACATGACCAACCTATGGTTTGCCATTTTACATGTTATTTTTGGGTCATTATTAGCATATATTAATTAATTTCATGCCATTTTAGCATATTCATGTCAGTATTGCTATTAAAAGAATGTATCAAAAAATAAATAGATTTAGTTATTTAATGAAAATGTAATATACAACTGAACATTAACCATGTTTAAAAGAATATATATATATATATATATAACAAAATTATATTATAAAGATTCTCTGATGTAATTTTTGTCATGTAATTCACATCAATTTATTTTTAAAATATTGTAAAACTTGATGCATTGGTTCTCTATTCATTTCAGATGAGCACTGAAGATTCAAAAATATATTTCTGCCTCCTCTTTTCACCGACAAATCACAATATAATACATATTGATCAGATTTCTCTTTGATATCATCCATATCATAATCACTATAGTCTGCAAATGATTCACAGTTTTCATCATAATTTGTTTCCAATTTGACTCTTTTTGGTTCAATCTCTTCAAAAGAATCTGAAGAAGTCCTTTCTCTTTTAAGTGAAACTTCATCCTCATTGGTTTTATCAGTATTGATGTTTTCTTCTATTTCAATGTCCTCAATACATTTGTTAATGCATGAATCTTCAGTTTCCATTGGAACTTCGTCTTTTTCATCTACACTGTTTTCTATTGTGGTAGAATCCTCTAACTTGTCTGAACAACTAGAACTATTTTCTTTAATTTTCTGTTGTCGTAATAATTGGCGTCGCTTTCTTCGTTGATGTGACCATGTATTTTCTTTTGCTTTCAAGCAAAGATGAATATTGTTCTTGCTTCTTGAAACAATTTGATAAGATACCTAAAATAAAGAAGTAGAAGAATTAAAATTTTATTACATATAAAAAATTTCTTTTAAAAATATACTGATTTAGTTAATTTGACAATATTAAAATTTAATAACTAGATATATAATGATTATAATCAAAATATTTATTCATAACTATTATTTGTAAACACCAAAAAAACTGAGGACAAAATCCAGACTCCAGAGTCTCATTGGCCATCAGCAGGCCAATGATACAACACAAAAACACCAAGAAACCAGTAAAAAACCAAAATATTTTATTCTGTAAATGTTTTTTTCATCTACAATGATCATCATCAAGTATTCTTAAATATAAACTGATAGAACTTGTTTCTTACATTAAATCAAATAGATCAAAATTCAAAAAATTTAAAAATAGACATGTGCAAAACCATCAAAGTTCTATATCAGTTCAACCAATGTACACCAAGCTGTAGAGAGGAAGTCATTCTTTTTAAAATTAATTGCTTTGCCTTTCTTAACTGCCTTATAAAGCTCAAACGACTCAAAATTTTTCAATCGTACCTGGTCCATTGTATGATGTAATATACTAGCATTACGAAAGTTGACCCATCCATCTTCCTCCCCACCATACGCAGCTAGTGTTGTGTTGGCCATTTTCTGTTTGATATTGTATTGGTGTTCTTTAATTCTTGTTGCTAGATCCCCTGGCTCTGACACCAATATAAACAAGTGATAAGTCCACTCTTTGGTCACATAATGGGATGGAATAAACACCTAGCCAAAACTTATTGTCAACCATGTCCTTGTCTTTTTTGTTTTTTACTGGTTTCTTGGTGTTTTTGTGTTATTTGTTGCATATATGGCTGATTTAAGTTGTGGTTAATCCTATAAACAAATTATCTAACAAAATTGAAACAGAGGAATATCACACTATTATGCCACAAACCTATGATATGTCAAAACCAGCAAGCAATGATAATACTAAAAGGGCTGTGTCACACTATGACCGACAGGACCAATTAGTCCGACTCCAAATTGTGTTGCCATGACAACAGCAGTCAGCTGACCAACTGGTCATTCCACTCAGACAGATTTGAAAAGTTAAATATTTGTAGTCGGGTCGGAGCAGTCAAAGAGCTACAGCCAATGAGAGCTTCGAAACTATAACCAATCAGACTTTGGATATATGAAAACTATCGAATCAATCAAACAACTTTACATTACTGTATATATATATATATTTCTAATTTATTTAATTTTTCACTTGTACCTCATTTCTTTCATAACTGCTTAAATTTCACATGGGAACACAAATGACTTTAATATACAATGGTGCCTCGTATAATGTACGCCTCGAATAACGGACACTGCAAACAACGGACTTTCTGTGAACAAGTGCGAATGATATTTTCACTCTTTTGCCGTTGCCAATGACAATCTGCTATTTTTATAATATATTAGTGTTATTAGAATATATTATTAGTATATCTGAAGTATAGAGCTCCCGTTGGGATTCGGCTTGCTCCGTTGTTTATTACGTACATCACCTCAGTGCAGGGTATTTACATATATTCAAGTGTTGTGCAAATCATGGCTTCTAAAAAACAGAAAGGTGATTTCAATTGAAACAAAGCCAGAAATCATCAGGAGGAGTGAAAGTTGACAACAACTTCCTTGTCGAATGGGAGAGGTTCAGGAGTTTACCAACACTCATTATCCAAACAGAGCTGAGGCCACCAGGATCAATGATCTCTACAATGACATCCTTGCCCATCATTTCCGACAGGTGTTGAAGAAGAGAGAGAAACAGACCTTCTTGGGCATGTTTTACAAGAAACCAGCAGACAAAAAACAAAGGATGGAACAAGAGGAGTTGATCCTGCAAGCTCTGGTAGCCTCTCCTGAATCTGACTCCAATTAAAAAACAATAAAAAGAGACCTGCTGCAATGTATCTGTATCTGTATGAATGTGTGAAGAAAGTGTTCCTCCACCTCCTCCTCACAACATCTGACTACTCGACATAATTGGTGACTGCTCCATTTTCATTTTTTTTAATGGTACAGTATGGTTATTTTATGCTGCGGAACGAATTATATGTTTTAACACGTATTTCTATGGGAAAATGCGTTTCATATAACAGACTTTTCACTTAATGCCTGTATCTGCACCTGGAACGGATTAAGTATGTTATATGAGGCACCACTGTATATATTAAAATACATTATCAATGTAATGAGAAAAGATGGTATTATTTAGACTTTTCGGAAGAATTTATAAACAAAGTAAGATCATATCCGCAAAGTTTAACCAGGTAGATAGATTACAAAAATATTTTAAAAAATTAGAAAAACTTAAAACGATTTCTAACACCTGTTCCAATTGGTCCTTACAAATCGGCCATCGACATATAATCGTACTCAATGTGAATGCTTCCTACTACTATTAAGTCCGATTATAGGATCAGTTGGGTCGGACCAGTTGTCTAGTCGGTTATAGTGTGAAACAGCCCTAACATGTATGGGGAAGCTGAAATGCCAGTTCTAAATGCACATAGGATTGGTGTGAATCAAATGCAAAAAAATATCAAATAAAGTATTCAGAAAAAATGTGTACATTCATTATGAAATACAATTAATCCAAAACTTAATGCAAAATGATAAGACTACTTATTTAAATAGCATAATATATTGGAAACTAATCTAAAAGAATTGATACTGAAGATTTCTTTTTAGCAGTGCAATGAATCCTAGAATGAATCCCAACATGAGATTTGACAAATAGCTGTTTGTAACTTCAGCCAAATTTTTCTTCATCTTTTTTATTCATTCTCTGGCTTCATTTTGCATGCCTAGTGTTAGCATAGACTAGTCTTTTATGGCAAGCCAACAATTATCCTATTCATGTGTGTGGAATGTGAGGACTTTTTCTTTGGATAGAAAACTCATGCACAATTCAATCAGCTTTGCTTAAGTCTGACATGCATGGTGAGCAGTGGCCAGAGTATAACAACGAAAGCACATCTTTCATCGTTTGGATATTGGTTTTAGATATAAAGTAACAATCACTTCTCAACACACTTAGTTATATCTGTGTTCTGGTTTAATTTGATTCCACTGAAAAAACAAATCTGATGGTTATTTTGGTCTGAATGTAAGCAAAGCCAGCAACGTTCATCCAACTTTTCCTTGCGGGGGCAATACTTTCTTGTCATTGGCTATTTCTTCCTTTATACAAAGTAAAAATTATACAATTGCAGTTCAGAAAAGAGTAATTTCTTATACAAAGTAAATTGTAGGATGAGGGGACAGGAAGGAATAGCAACTCTTGTTGTTGATTACATCAAGCGTGAAAGATACTCTCAGGTGTCTTTGAAAAGAATGGACAATTGCTGCTGTTGCTTCCTTCTTCACCTGTTTCATTTTTGGTACACACTTTTGCTTCTTTTTATAATTTTATCTGATACCTCCATATCTCTTGGCCAAGTTGAAACTGATCTAAACTTGTCTAAATACTGATCACAAATACCTGAGTTAAAAAACAAAAGAAGATTGTAAGAAAAAACAAGCCCAAAAAAGCTTTATTTGAGAAATATAGGAATTAGTAAAGTTAAAAGAAAAATTAATTCAAATAACAGATAAAAGAAAATTGGAAAAACAATGGTCAAGTATTCAAACAATTCAAAGATCAGATATTTTAACCAAACATTTGTAACTTAAGATGTGACATCTTAAGGTAAATTCTAATGCCAAATTTATAATTTTGAATTCATTAGATAGATTAGATATATACTGAAAATATTAAAAATGTGAATAAATAAATAAACTAGACATACAGGTAGAGTTTAGAACAGGATTAATTCATGAGAAACAAACAGCACAATAATCAGACATAAGACAAATGAATAAGTAATTACAATAAATGTTTTTAATTTTATTTTAAGTCATATTACAAAAAAGTTTACTTATATGGACAATATCCTGAGCCATCCAAGCTTGTTACTTCCCCACTATGCATCACAAAAAATACTGAAATTTTGAATTTTTATTGATATTTATCATAAATGCAAGGGATAACATTTAAAACTACTATCTTCATCAATTGTATTCACTCCTTTTAATTTGATCATCCTGTATTTTATTTATTTAATTTTCATTACTAATAAATTAATATTTATCTTTAGACAAAAATTTATATTTCAAATATAGTATTTTATATTTAAAACTAGCTGTTACTCGTGGCTTTGCCTGTGCGGATTTTGCAAGCAAACCCCATTTATATTCAGTATTTCAACAACCATAGTAATTGTTATATAACACCTACCGCTGAGAATGATGAGAATTGCTGAGAATCAAATGAACTATTTTCAATTTGATCAATTTTCTGGAACGTTTATAATCGTTCTATAATCGAACCATTATGCAATAACAAATTCAAATTTAAAACAGTTCGAATATTTTTAAAATCAAAATAGATAAAAATATTTATAGCAATGTCTGAAATGTTATCAATTTGATTAATACACCTAAGTACTCGATGAAGACTAAATCCTCTCCCTCTCCCGCCCGCGTGGGAATTTCGAAAAATCCCTTCTTAGTGTGCATTCTCATGGCATACCCTACTAAAACACAGATAAAAACAAAAAATCACATCTAAAATAGTGCAGTAGAAGCCGTTCTTTCGGTTAAGCCCCTTAATCCTCTCGCTCTCTCCCCGCAGAGGAATTTCGAAAAATCCCTTCTTAGTGCGCGTTTCCATGACGTACCCTAACTGTCTACCAAATTTCACCTCTTTAGGTTAAGCGGTCTGCTCTGGGCGATGATGAATCAGTGAGCGAGTGAGTCATTCAGTCAGGCAATCAGGACAAGCAATTTTATATATTTAGATATATTCTAATTGAAATATGTAAAATTCCATTGTGTAAATTTAAAATGAACTTATTTATGAAAATTACTTTTATAAGATGTTTTTGAGATTACAATTGAATTTTTAATAATATACTGTACCATTTCAAATATAACATAGAGAGATTTGTACACACTATATTATTTGAAAATTCAATAATGTTTTTAAAATGTCATAGTTTTCCTCTTTTGAAATAAATATAATAATCATTTATATAATTAAAATACTGTATAAATTAATTCATAAATATCAAAACTTAACTTTTATATAAAATTAAACTTTACCTTTATTTCTTCTAATAATTTTGTAATTACAGATGCTACACTTTCAACTGTGTATTTAAAATTTTTACTTTTTGGGACTAAATAAGCAATTGGTGGTTTCTGCTTATGATGTCTGAGTGAGGGTACCTGTAATCATATTATTTGTTTTGGTAAATAACATATTATTAACTTCATACAGTATTATAAAAAATTGATTAAAAGAAAATAAATATCAATTTAGATAAATCACAATAAATAGACTTCCAATAATGATATAAAGATTAACATATTATTTTATATAATCTCTTAATTTAATGTGATAATGAAATTGAAAAAAAGGAAAAGACAGTGTCTTTTCTTAAGTTAGATAACTAATAAACAAACTACGCTTAAAGCTATAATATCAGAATATTTCCTTATTTTATACAAAAAAGTATGAAAACCCTCCTTTAAATGATAAATGGGGAAGTGGAGAAATTGGGTGCTGTAAAATTTAATTCTCACATTCTTGGTCGTAGATTGTGGGGGAGAAAGGAGTGACACTGATTGAAGTTTCTGCAGTCACCCAACACCAAATCTAAAGTGAAAAAGCAAACACTTCCTAGGAGGGGCATGTGGATAGAACTGTGTGGCCACATTTTTGGTAATTTAAGGGACAATCATTCAAGAAGGAACATAACCCTATTCTTCGGAGAGAGCAGTCTGCACCAAAAGAAATAGAAGGTGGTCAACATCACATAGCCCAAATCACATCCCTGGCAACAGCACAGAGACCAGTGGAGATGTGGGAAACCAATAGTTTGGACCAACCAGAAATCAGAATTTGGGACAAAATTGCATAAAAACCCATGTCTTCAAGGACACAGGGTAGTCATCATCTGGGGATCTTCATCAACTTTTACCATCTGCTGTCTGCTCAAGAACCTTCTTGCCACCTGCTACTTCAACATGCAGCCAAAGTTAGACCTGATCCTTAGCCAACATCTTTCTAAGAACCATGTGGCCATGGGACAAGAACTCACCAACAGGAGACCACAAAGCTCCTCTTAACTGTGTTTTCATCCATCCTGTCATCTGCTACTCTTTATCAAATATGATAATCTCATTGCAACATTTTCTTATTTCTACATGTTGCAAATCAATAGTTTGAAAAAAAAATATATATATATACACTACCCTACAACAATGGACCAGACAGAGATGTGATGATGGCACAAAGTAAAGAATACAATACTTTAATAGGAGGACGGTCCCCCATATGCTGCAATTACACTAGCAACCCTTCTGGGCATACTTTCAACAAGGTTTTGATACACAACTTTGGGCATTTGTGTCCATTCATGCTTCAAGAATGTTGCCAGCTCAGCTGTGGATTTTGGACATGGTTCCTTGGTCCAGTGTCACTCTAACTCATTCCACAAATATTCTATTGGGTTTAGGTTGGGACTCTGAGCAGGCCAGAGAAGACAGTTGACATTGGTATCTTGATACCACTGCTTGACAGAGGCTGCAACATGACATGGAGCATTGTCATCTTGGAAATAACATTTGTCCATATCATAAAATTGCTTGAGCATAGGAAGAACCTGATTGTCCAAAATGTTCATATAGGTGTAGACGTTCAATTTACCAGGAACAACATGCAAAGGTTCAGGCCATACCACGAAAAACACCATCACCACCGAACTTGACAGGTGTCCGGTCCATTATTGTAGGGTAGTGTATCCTCTTTAATCTAAATACAGTATTCTTATTTTTAATAATAATACAGGTAACCCCCGTATAACACGGTAGTTACGTTCCAAAAAATTGCCGTGTTATGCGAATCCGTGTTATACAAAACAAAGAACTAGTACGAAAAGGAGGGTTAGGTTCCAAAAATTAAAAAAACATGCTACTATATTTTCATAATTAAGATAAATATCTTTATTAAAATTTTCTTAAGTGATACATATTAATATAAATTAAACAATGTTTTCTTTGTCATCACTAAAAGCACTATTAACCGAGAGCGTTTTATTTTTGGCAAGTTATCGTTATCCTCTGAGCATTTTTCTGCATTATTTTCAGATTCATGCTTTACCTTTTGCAAAAAGTGTATGTAATTTTAGATTGCTTGCTTCTAGTTAAAAGATCTTTATAAATTTCCTTATATGGTGCTAAGCACTTATGGAATAAGGGAAAAACATCTGGCAACACCAGAAGCAGAAGCGTCGAGATCTGGCAAAATTGAAACAATTTTCGCGAAGGACCATGTGTATGGAGACGAGAAAAGAAAATTTACACACTGAAGTACTAATAGTTCACGAAAATAATAATTTTCGTGAACTATTAGTACTTAAGTATGTAAAAATTTATTACATTTCATGTTGTACGAGGGTTTTACCCATTTCTTGAACCGTGTCAGAGTGAATCCGTGCTATAAAAGTACCGTGTTATACGGGGGATGGTACCAATTCTCGAACCGTGTTAGAGTGAATCCGTGCTATAGAAGTGCCGTGTTATACAGAGGTTACTTGTATTTTTATTCATGTTCATTAGAAGTATCTCACAAATGTGGTACAAAATCTTTTCTTAATTAATGTTTCAATTCAATATATCCAAAATAAAACAAAGAATATTATAAATAAATCATACATAATATATAAAATTATTACATTAGCATTATTTAATTGCAAAAATACAGATTATAATGAAAAAGAATAAGAAAATGGATAATAAAAATATCAAACTTTTAAAATATATTCAAATTAGAATGTAAAAATGAATACCTTTTGAAACTGTACATCAGAAGAAAATGTCCATGCTATTCCCCATCGCATTGTATTTCCTTGACAAAATTCACAAGTGATAAATTGAATTATCTAAATTGAAAAAATTAAATAAATACTTAAATTTTGATGTAAATATAACAGATTAAAACTTATTTTATTAATATTATCTTACAGTAACTTTTAAGCTATAGGTTTTAATTCATAATTTACTTATCAACATAGACAAAAGTTTGCCAATCTTTGCATATTGTTTCTGAGTATAAAATTAAATATCAAAATGAATAAAATTGCATAATTATTAAATAGTTAATACTTGAAATAAATGGTTTTTGTTTCTTCTGACATAAAACAGATCATTTTTTGCAATTACTTTTTATTCAAATTAGTGGAAAAGCATTTGAAAAAAGTGGAAAATCCAGCAAAAATATTTAACTAATGTTTTAAAATTTTTAAATCTACATTTATAATATCAGAAATAATTTTATTTTGACCTTTCATTTTAAATAAATTAAAGATTACCATACAGAGTTAAATAATTACTATCAATATATCATGATGTACATTCACATAGCAATGCAGTGCTCTTATAAGCCAAAATAATCTGGCACACATAAGAGCATGCTCAAATGTGTGTAAAAATGTGGGGTAACCTTATTTTTAACACAATATATATATGTTACTGCTAAAGCTTGAAAGCCGTTAATGTGTACATTACCTAGCTAATCTGAAGATTAACTAGAGTGATTCGTTAAAGTTGCGAAAATTGTTCCATTTCTCAAATTACCTAGGTAATGTGCAGAGTATCTAGGTAAACTGCACATTACCTACTAGGCACTCGGTAAAGTGAAAATAAGATCTTTGCCACAAATAAATGTACCACAAATAGGTGTGCTTGTCACAAAAAAGAATTGCTATGTAATTCAAAGTGTCACCAATCTTTAGACTACACTAATAAGTAAGTACAATTGGTTAACCCCTTAACGACCACCTGTAATAAATTATGATGTAATTAAGCATAAAAAAATACATAAAAAATACTTAAAACTGAAAAAAACGAAAGAAATGCGTTAATTTTGAAGAAAAAGCTTCAAATTTTATTTTCCTTTGTCTTGCCTTTCTGTGAAATTTAACACCAATGAGTCATTGTTTACACAGCTGGATGACCTTGAACACAGCTGGAGTTGGATTTCCCAGGACATTCTTATATACGTCTCGGGAGGACAAGGGTTTAAAGTAGGGTGAATATGAGCAACGCGTATATTTTTAAATATTTTTAAAAAATTAAGATTTTAATTGCGATTTCCGACACCCCCTAATTAATTAATTTAAATATAAAAAATCGATTAATTAAAAAAATTAAAAAACTATCAGAGGTCATTTTTGACATCAGAAACTAGCTTTAAATAACTTTACCGAAGGAAAATCCGTGCACTACAACTTAGGAACCATGAAATAAATTTGATAAAAAACTCCCATTAAAAAACAATTAAGCCTTAATCGAGCTTTATCAAAGGCTCATTAAAATCACGATAAAATTTTTTCGCGCGGACAAAAAATTTTGAAAAAATTTGGGGACCTAAAAAACATTCCAAAAATTGAAGAAAAAAAAAAATTTTGTCAAAAGTGGCCTTAACTACCGAATTTTACATAATGCTATGTTAATGTTACCTATGGTGACTAAAATGGCGGCTCGTCTCTGATTCCAGCAAACAGAAGAAAGAAAACAGTGGGGACGCACGTTCTAACCTATTCTAATAATTTGGTTGGTAATAATTATGGTAATTTATAATAGGTTAGGTTAGGTTAGGTTAGAGCGTACATCCCCACTGTTTCCTTTCTTCGGTTTGCTGGAATTGGAGACGAGTTGCCATTTTAGTCACCAAAGGTAACATTAATGCACAATTTTTACAAAAAATTAATAAGAAACTTTTAAATNTAGCAATACTAAATTGTACTACTAATTACAAATCAGCTAAAACTTTGTATTAATAAATTTAGATGTGATAACATTCAATTATAAAGCATATATAATAGTTATCTATTATATAACTGAAAAAAAGATGTTAATTGGAATTTAATTTTAGTATTGTAAGTAGCATGCCATTCATTTTTGCCATTTGTTCGATGCTCCACAGGATCCAAGTGTCTTCTTTAAATGGATAGAATGTTTGTTAAAATTTGTGAAGAAAATAAAGAGAAAATGAGCAATTATTTACTGTGACATCGTCACAATGCCAGGCTGCAATTTTTAATCGTATTTAATTTAATTAATTTAATATATATGCTCTCTACCTGAAATTAGTAGTGGCTTGCCCCTGTACATTATACTGTACTTTTACTTTAAGGATAGAGTCATGTCAGTCATCTATCTAACACTTTTTGGAGAAAAATTTTTGAACTGAAATAGCATGACTTCCAGTTTGCACCAGAAGTTCTTATATAGTTAATCTGGGAATCCTTCCCCTAAGGTTTCCATAATTCGACCAAGATTTCATCTATCTAACCCCATTCTCAAGATTAAGGAAATACAGACAGACAACAGTGGGAATTTATAGGCCTATAATTTTTTTGAATTGCAGCCCAATAAAAAGTAACATAAATGGTATTGATAGTTGGTATGTAGTATTGGCAGGTGCTCAGTAAAAAAAATTCTATTTGTTCAGACAAGAAGTCTGGTGACTGTTACAATAAAAATGAATAAAATAAACTATTTCACTCTATTGACCACAACAAATGCTGGAGTTAAGATGTCAGCCTATTGCTATGGGGACTCAAGATAGAATTCAGACAGGTCAAAAAATTCCAGGAATCTTTTTGAGAATAGTATATCCCAGATATGTTGGGTTCTTTCCCTCATCACCAGCTATCACATTGTAGACCTGGCCAAACCTACAACTGACCTGAAAAAGAACCCCTTAGTGTTCATACTGCAAATAGAGTATAAAAATAAAGCATTGTTTGCTCATTGAAAGATGTCCTCTGATGATCAATCATCTATGAACAGATAATACTGTCTGGAATTGTTTGTTTCCAATCCATTTTTGTATTGAAAACAAATAGATAATATTTTGAAAGGGAAAGCTAAAAACATGATTAATGAAAAAGTACAATTCAGCAACTAATCCAAAACAAGAAATAGAAATTTCTTCATAAAATAGAGATTACTTGTTTTGGATTAGTTGCTAAATAATGCTTTTTCACACAAAGCAGATGTTAATCAGTGTAAGTTGAGATAATTTACAGTGAATTTCTGAAATTTGATATGTTTAATTTTGCATTTTTGGATCAAATTACAATAAAATACAGATGAAAAAAAGCACTTTTGGCATTCCACAAGTATTTTACATTGTTAGAAAGAAGACAAGGTGCAGAAATTAAGCATATAATCAGTCTTTGATATAATGCTGAGTTTCACAACTTTAGAATATAAACTGGCATCTATGAGACACCATGCAATGAAACTTTTTTATTTTTTTACACACCCTCTGAAAAGAGATGTATAACCTCACATAAACTGGCATGCCAGCATTCTCCTGGTATAAACCAGCATGGTAATTTTTACCAAATGGAAATATGTGATTTTATGGTCTCCCATGGATAGACTGACATGCCAGACAATCTATGAAGATATGGTAACATTCATAACTATGTGAATGAATGACTTATTTATAATTTTAAGCAGAATATTAATAAATATCAAATGCATTTGAAAATACAAACAAATCACCAAATACTTTCAACAAAACTTTCTGTATAAGTTATTTTTAATGAACCATATTATGCTTTATGCAAGTCTAAATTTAGCACCCAGCAACTTTTGTCTGGTTCCTGCTTTAAAAAAGCTTTTATCAGAACATTACTTCACTTGCAATGAATATGTCATATGTGCTATTATAACAATGTAATAGGGACACATATTCTAATGCATCCAGAATAACTTATAACATGCTATAATGGATCCTTTAACCATTGAGGAAAATATATTGAAAGATAACCATATACACCAGTGATATTTTTATTGTTAGTTATCCTATCAATATCTTGATTTTTTGTAGTGTAAATCATATTTATAAACTTTCATATAATAACAAATTTAAAACAAGCTTCTATTTTTTTTTACTCATTTTACAATTTGTAAGAGTGTTTAAAAAGATTTTGTTACTTAAAAGTTTATATATGTTTTGTCTATTCAAGATACATTTGTAAAATTTTATGGATTTCAAAATATTTTGAAATCCATAAAATTTTACAAATGTTTTTTCTAAAGACATTGAATTCAGACCATTTATCTCAATTTTAAAAAAATCTCTAAGTATTTTTGTACTTTTCACATTTATCAAATAAAAAATCTTGATTATTAGTTTAATTTTAATCTGAAGATTTTTATCCAGATTAAAATTAAGCTAATAACCAAGAGTTTTGATTTGATTAATAGATGCTGATAAATCATCTGTATTATATTGTATTACTTTTGTTTCCTGTTATAGCAAATATTTAGAATTCAAATATTTTAAAGCATAAGTTAAACGGTTAAAAGTTTTAAGTTAAAAATTTAAAATAAATTTATAATGTAAATGTTCATCCGATGGAGAAATATTTTTAAAAAAATTGAAGACAAAACTGTTCAAAAAGGATCACCATTTTAAAAAAATTTTTTATAATTTTAATTGGATGTGTTTGTATTTTTTAAAAGGGCTCTTTGTAATTTTCCGGCGACAATCAGCCTACAAAGAAAGTGTGGCAAAAATGTGTTAGTCTTGGAACACAAAAAATAAATGGTGATCCTTTTTGGACAGTTTTGTCTTCAATTTTATTTAAAATATTTCTCCATCAGACGAACATTTACAGAAGAAATTTATACATGTATCGTCACCAGGGGGCAGCTTTTCTAAAAATTTACATTTTCCAGCACCAATTTCTAGTAGATAAAAAGCAGCCAAAACCCCCAACAGAAGGTATAGATGGATGTAAGCAGGACAACTGTATGTCACCAGTTCCTTTTTCAGAAATTTTTATAATTTTAATTGGATGTGTTTGTGTTTTTAAAAGGACTTTTTGTAATTTTCCGGCGACAAGCAGCCTACAAAGAAAGGTCAGTCGTCGAAAATGTGTTAGTCTTGGAACACAAAAAATAAATGGTGATCCTTTTTGGACAGTTTTGTCTTCAATTTTATTATAAATTTATAAGTTAAATATTTACCTTACTTTTTCCTTCAACAAAAAACTTTCATCAATCATCTTCTTAATGAATTCTATTTCTCCTCCTTCTGTTGATTTTTCTGTTTCTGATGGTGTATTAATGCTTTTAGGAAGACTTCTTCGAGGAGTACGAGATATTTTTACAGACATATCATTTTGATCATTAAAAAATGGTGGATTACACATAGTAAAGTCAAAGCAAATTTCTTCATTGCTGATAACATCTTGTAGTATATTATTAGAATTAACTTTGATTACTAGAAATAAATATTGTTTTTTAATATAACTTAATATTAAAACTTAGTAAAAACAGAGTTTCAATAATTTTTACTAGTATAATTGAATTTTAATTATTTTACATTGCAATTTTATTTTATCTGCCTACTAACAAATATTTTAAAATGACACTATATTAGATATAGAAAATATATAAGTTTATTTAATAAAAGTCAAACATAAATATTTAAATAAATTAAAATCTGAATTTTATGAGAGGATAATTTTTGCTACATATATATTCATACATACGTATATGTAATATTAAACAGAAAAATATTAAAAGTTAATTTTAAATATTACAGAAAGAATAACTTTAATATTTTTATATAATAGTTTGCGTTTTCTCATTTCTTAAGCCCTGGTCACACTATGCGATTTCCAGCCGCGCAGGCGACTGCAACCGCGACGGCTGTTCCCGTTAACTGGTAATCCCCCCTCGAAAACCGGTGCGACTGCAATCGCAACTAGAAACAAAAAGTTTGTTCTACTCGCGACGATTGCAAACGCGCATCCAATCAACAAACGCCTTTATGCCACGTCATACAGTGACAACATTGAAAATAGTTCATCATCATGGCGGATAGTCAGAGGATTAATACTTTTACAGAATCGAGATTGATCGAGCTTATTCAGGCTCACGAATACCTGTGGGATTTTAATTCTTCGTTTTATCGAAGATTTTAT